TACAATATAAGACAGTACTATACCTAACTATTAAGTAAAAATTGCGAAGGAAATGAATTGCAACACTTATAAAAAAAATATTAAAGATTTTTTCTTTGTGGAAGTATGTATAATCTTAATGGTTGTCTAAATGAGCTAGGAAAGTGTCTCAGGTAACTTAACATTCACGGTGTACAATATAAGACACTACTATACCTAACTATTAAGTAAAAATTGCGAAGGAAAGGAATTGCAAAACTTATAAAAAAAAATATTAATGATTTTTTTTGTGGAAGTATGTATAATCTTAATGGTTGTCTAAATGAGCTAGGAAAGTGTCTCAGGTAACTCAACATTCACGGTGTACAATATAAGACACTATACCTATCTATTATGTAATCTGTGACTATATTATAATATCCAGCAAAAAACAGCATTATTAAAGGGAATATACAATTCAATGTTCAGCGAATATTTTAAGCGGCTACCTGTTATAGAGCACAAACCGGCAAAAATCATGTTTGTTGAATGGGAGCCCCCTTAAATATTTATTTAATTCTGTTTTTAGTATTAGTTGTTATAGCAATAGCAGATATACATAATCTGTTAAAATTCCAAATGTTCAGGTATTACGGTTCATGACATACAGCCTAGTGACAGACAGACAGTCAGGCAACCAGCTGATTCACAGACATCTTCGCGTTTGGACTCTAACACCACTTAACATCACTCATTTGCTTACCTGGCTATATGTAAAAAAAAATTGAAAAGATGAACAGTCGAGTCTTAATAATAGGATCCCGTTTTTACGTGGTTTTTACTCTTTGGCTACGGAAATCTAAAAAGTCGCCTGTCTGTCCGTATGTCACGGGTCTCTAGATCGTAAACTGAATGAGTTACAGAACTGAAACTTTAATATTATACTAGAACTCGTCTGTTTGTCTATTGCAGGGAAATGCTCGTACAAGCTCAATACGCCGGCCCCCAAGGAGGTTTAGCTCAAGCTTTGTTACCAAATGCGTATTACCATCAACTGCAAGACCCGTCGCATTATCTCCACGGAAACCCACCTTAAACCAGTGTCGCCGTACGTGAAAATTATAAAGTTGTTGTTTTAGGTTTAATTCACACTGGCGCAGAATCGAAGTGACACGACGCGTCATGTTTTTCGCCTGTTTCGGCCTCAGAACAAAAACTAAACTAAGTTTAAATTCAACAACAATCTTATTTTTACTTATTGACCGAAAAAGGGACAAATATGTACAGCGTGCGTACCACTATCATCACCATCATCAGCCTATTAATGTCCCCACTGCTGGGTCACAGGCCTTCCCTATTGATGGAATAGGGAGATTGGGCCATGACTAGTGTTGCCAGGTCCGATTTGTTTTAAATCGTAGGTACATGAGGTAAAAAAAAATCGGGATTTCGGATTGCAGATCGGGAGAGTAAACAAAAAATAAGGGGTTTTAACTCTGCGTTTAATTTATTGAGTTTTAAACTACTAGTGCAAGTATTATATTAATTAACAAAATTAAATTTTTTGATTAATCGGGACATTTTGCGTCCCGATCAGGTACAAATCGGGACGTCCCGCGCAAATCGGGGCACCTGGCAATACTAACCATGACCCATCACGCGGGCCCAGTGCGGATTGGTGGGCGCTAACGACTGCAGATGCAGCCGGGACCAACGGTTTAAAGTATTTTTCGTAGCATGGAGGAGTTCGTGATAGTAAATTTTTTATTACCCATCCAATGACCAACCACTGCGAAAGTTGCTTAACTTTAACGATCGCAGCCGAACGCACTTGCGCCATCGAGCTCCTCCGCCGTACCACTATACAAACGTCACATTGGATATTTTTGTATGGCTTGTGTACCTTCGTTACCTTTACGATACCGAATCAAAAAGCTATCTATTGCTAAGAGACAAGCTGCCTACATGCCACTAATACTTATTGGTTGGGTTATAAATTTTATGGAAAAATTGTCCATAATCTATTGTCTATTAGAGTTTATGCTCAAACTTATTAAATAGCACTACTTCTATGCTTTAATTCTTGTTCTGAGGTTTCGCTTGTAACAAACACATCTCTATTTTCCCACATGCGAAAACATGACGCGTCGTATCGCTTCGACTCTGCGCCAGTCTGAGTTGATCCATAAGTATGTATTTTAAAATTGGACTTTTTCTATTTTCAACAGACTGATTCATATTTTTTTTGTTATTGTTGTAATAATTAGGTTTACTTACACCAAGATAGAAAGATCTGGGACTGTTTACACTTTCGTACTTAATATTATAGTATGCATAGGTATCTATTTACTTGGTTTTCTCTGGAATGGAAATAAATGATTATCATTGAACATGAACTTAACGAAAATGACCTAAGAATCTTCATGAAAATGATGAGGCACTTATATTATATTGTTGTTATAATTTTATTCCTTGGGTGTCTTTGTTCAGGCATTTTTTATAAAACAACTGTAGTAGTTACATACATAGTTTAATGTTGAATATTAACTAAATCAATTTAACGAGGAAGTATATGAAGTATTTCATTAATTCAATATTAGAAATCCATACTGTACCATGACCTATTCTGCCTTATTACAAAACATATTACTAAAGTTAAACCTAGTTTAAATCTGATACTGTCTCTTTTGTTTGCTAAAAATAAGACAAAGACAGTATTAGGATTAAACCAAGACCAGCTTAATTCCCCATTTTGGAATAAGGTGGATTATGTTTTATTTTTATTTCACTGCAATACCAAATTCTATTTCGAACTACTGACGTTTTTGTTCATCTTAATATATCTATGCTTTTGTATGTTTATATTAATTAATTTTGTGGTATCTTCTAATATCGGCATTATTATGCAACTCGAGGATTTGTGATTTAGGTTAAGTACTTACCTACCTACCTTAGTTCATTTATGAGACTGTAATTATTAGAAATAGATATTTTATTTTAAGAACGAAATCGCATATCCTATATGTAAATACATATTACACTATTACTATATTTTAAGGTGCTGTTTCTGTTCAATTCATTGTATTCTAGTCTAAAAGTGAAATAAAGTTCTATGAGAATATTTTTTTGTTTTAAACTTAACAAGTGTTTTCATCATGACTAGATGCTAAGCTTATGCAAAATCTTCCTAAGCTTGGCATAAAATAAAGAATAATTTTATGTAAGGGTACACCTTGGGTTTCTTAGGTAAGTAGTAGAGATTTTGGTTTCCTATGTGAGAATAGCACATTTAATTATATAAAGCTCAATAAACCACCCCATTTTACTTGTTTTTTATTTTTATTTAATCAGCCTAAAGTCTTAAAGTATTGATAAGTGGATTCGCAAATATTTTTGTGTCAGCAAAAGGTATTAACTCTACAATTCAGGCATTTTATTGAGTTGAAATTAAATATTAAAAACTGGTCCAAGAAAAGAACCTTGGGACAGAACCGCTATTACTGTTTAATCTGAGAATGTAGTCAATATATCACCCCAAAAAGCTTTTCACTGAATTTCCCCTTAATATTATATCAACAAATTCCAGCTTATGCAAAAGCCTGCCTGCCCAAAAATGAGTAGTTGTGACGTAACGCACTCTTTTGTATCTGTTTCTAACACAATTATTAAAAACATACTAAATTTAGATTTTAATTTGAAAGGACTCGAAAAAGAATCGGTTGATTGGAAACAGGAGCAAGCGAGGCTTACTTTGAACTATAGGCTGTATGAATAAAAACCTTCGTCTTTGAAAATAGAAAAAAATACATTAAGGACGCCCGAACTTTTGTTTTTAATGTTTTTTTTGGATCGTTATGGATCGTAACTCTGTAAATCGATTCATGATCTGCATTGTATGGAATTAAATCAATCTTATTATGAATCTTAAAAATCTTATCGAAAAAGGTATTTTATCTTTCAATTTTTATTCTTATCAAAATTATTGGTTTAACGTTAAGCAGACGAACTTTAATCCTTAACTACCTAGGTGGTATCTATTCAAGCACATTTTTTTAAAGTAACTTGACAGAACGACGTCTGAGGCAGCTTATAATGTAAACTCAATCACTAATATTCATGAAATCGTGTTGAAGTTATAAACCAATTTATGATTTATTCTTCTTGAAATAAAATTCCCACAAAATACCTAATGCTGTTATGGAAGATGAACAGATTGATTAATAAACTTGCCATTTGACAATCAACAATGATATAATTTTACTTTACAATAATTATTACAAAAAACGAGTGTGCTTATGACCACACGACTTAAGTGAAACTTCTTTAGCTCCATCTGTATATATATATATATATATATATATATATATATATAATACTAGAGGTCGTCCGCGACTTCGTCTGCGTTAACTCAGCTTCTTGAAAATCCCGCTGGAATCTAATATTTTTTCCGGATAAAAGTTGTGTTAATCTCCGGTGTCAGCTAATTCCATACCAAATTTTATTAAAATCGCTCCAGCGGTTTAGACGTGAAGAAGTAACAAACATACACACTCACATACTTACAAACTTTCGCCTTTATATTATTAGTGTGATTTCATTTACTAGCTATAAGAGAAAGAAAATGTGCGCGCGCACTGCTTTATATTCTCCACTCAACTCCCGTTCGCTTCGCCCGAACACACTTTTGTAACGCGCATTCACCAGCTTACCCCCTAAGTCATGCGTGGGTAAAAAAGTTTCACTTCAAAAACGGGGATAAAATAAATTCTAGTTTTTCTCAAATGATTTACAATATTGAGCAATACCCTAAAAATTTGGAATCTGCCGGAAACCGATTACCACCCTCCATACAAATTGGAACCGTTTCCTTTTAGCATAATTTAATTCGATTTTATTTTCAATCTTCTGTTCATCAGATTAGATCTAATAAAAAATCACATTCTCTTGAATCGATTCCAAAAATGTATGGATCGTTTTATCGTGTATCGCGTTCCAAAAAATCGATATGGATCTAGCATCCCTATTTGATATGACATATGACAATGACAGTGACAGGACAGCTATATTGCGAAGTTTCTTTGTTTGTTTCGTAAGAAAAATAGATTGGAAAATACCATAAAGATAATAAAAAATATGGAATACACAGCTTTGTTACGAGCATTTTGAAGTATTTCGTTACAGTGTAAATAGTATTATTTGTGAACTATATGACGTAACTGCTGGCTCATCACAATGAGCGATTCCAAATCTTTCGTGAACTTTTCTTGCCAGAGGTGTTTGCAGCCTTTGAAGTTGGACGAATCCCTGAATAACTTGGGGGAGCATACTATTGCGGACCTCACCTTGCAGATAAGGCGTAACAATGAAGTGGATTTGGAGTTACAGTCGTCGAGCTTGGAACATTACGTCCCTCCTTTTCGTATGTCAGAGTCAGGTAACGGCGCAAATGGCTTCATGGTCATCTCAGACGGCTGGGAAACCACGTCCCTAGGTCACCAATTACACGTGAAAGCCACTCTGTTCGATTTACTATCCAACAATTCTGATGTGGACCATCCTCTTTGTGATGAGTGTACAGATACACTACTAGAGCTTATGGACAATCAACTAAGGCAGACAGAAGCGGAGTGGAAAGACTATAACGATTATTTGAAAAAGCTTGAGGATGACAAAGAAGATTTAAATTTGGAAGGACTCGAAAAAGAATTGGATGATTGGAAACAGGAGCAAGCGAGACTTCTGCAAGAACTATCCGCTTTGCAAAAGGAGGAAAGGGCTATGAAGGAGGAAATACAAATACAAGAGAGGGAGAAAGATAGATTAGAGAAGGAGCAAGATGTTTATTGGAGGGAGTACACTAGGCATCGGAAAGATTTGATGACTACTGAAGATCAAATGAAGTTTTATGAATGCCAGCTAGCTTACACTCAGTCACAGCTAGAAAAGTTGAAAAAGATGAATGTTTTCAAAGCCACATTCCATATATCAGATTCAGGACAGTTTGGTATTATAAATAATTTCCGATTAGGCCGTTTACCAACTGCTCCTGTTGACTGGTCAGAGATAAATGCGGCGTGGGGTCAGACAGTCTTGCTGCTGTCATCATTGGCGAGAAAGATAAATTTTGCCTTCCAGAGGTACCGTCTAGTGCCATATGGCAATCATTCATTCATTGAGGTTTTGGAAGACCAGAAAGTCTTACCACTTTATGGGTCTGGAGGTTTTCGTTTCCTCTGGGATACTAAGTTTGATGCTGCCATGGTTGCTTTCTTGGATTGCTTGCAGCAATTCAAAGAGCAAGTTGAAAAGGGGAATACTGGTTTTTGTTTGCCGTATAGAATAGACAAAGGAAAAATAGAAGACACAGCCTCCCCCCCTCATGCTTATTCTATAAAAATACAATTCAATTCTGAAGAACATTGGACAAAAGCTTTAAAGTATATGTTGACCAACTTAAAATGGGCTTTAACATGGATCTCATCTCAATTTAGTGAAGATAAAATTGAAAGTTAAGAAATTAACTTTCATTATTATTGTAGTTCAATTTATAATGTTATTTAGTCCTAATTGTATTTGAATATAATATCATTGCTTTGTAAGATAAATAAATACAGGAATGTGTATATTACAATATTTACAACATTTATTTCTAAAATATGACAACTTATCTCACATAGCTTGTTTAGCTCAAAGACGAGTCTTTTTGCTACTTTATTGATTAATCATTTATGTTTTAAAACTAGATTGTTATAATGATATTAAAATTGGTTCTTATTTTCCTAAAAGACAATCATTATATTTTTTCAATTTTGCATGTGGATAAATTCATAATAATTATCAATAACATAGGCATTAATAAATAGGTTGCATGTTTGAATACAGATTGTGTATAAATCAAATCACATTAAATTTTATTTGAAAAAACTAACTTGATCCAGGAAAATTTAAAGAGACATATACCTATGTAATTTGCTTTTTAATATTCTATAGTAAGAACACATTTGATAAATGAATTCCTTGAAGAATGTGTTATCAATAGGCATTAATGTCATATTAATATAATAAGCAACAAATTATGTTAACCTAGCCTAATTTATTAATTCAACAAACAGATTGTGATTGAAGTACTGGATTGAATTTGTGTTACTGTATACTAAATAACCTTCATTAAAATATGTATCGAAATAAAATGTCCATCACATGTTATTTGCCTATTGTTAAAAATGCTGTAATTGCTTTTGTAGTATGTGAAAAGAATGTAATGAGAGGCTTAATAAGTATACTATAATTATATTCAATGTGATTAAATGCTGTGATTATACAATTATTTTGAAATCAATAAGTTTGTAAAAGTCTCCCTCAGTTTATTTCTATTTAGAACTGATTATTTTCTACTTGATTATTATAATATTTGGCCGCTGACTGGTTGTTGTTAATTATAAACCAAATCTTAACATTTTTTTTGTAAGTTTGGTATAGAATTCATGAAGAGGTATTTTATTACAGTTACTAAAACTGCGTCCCGCTTACTACAAAACGCGCACTAAAGTTAGTCTTGGTTTAAACCTTATGTTGTCTTCGACTCCTTTTTAGCAAACAAAAGTGACAGCGTCATTTTAGTCCAGGTTTAACTTTTGTCTACCTTTTGTATTTGTTTAATCTTTCATTATATTTTATTTCAGCTTCTGTATGTATGACTAAAAACCAACAGCTATAGGCAAATGTGTTCTGGTTTTTTTTTATTATAGATAGGTCCGACAAATGACTCCACCCCACCTGATGTTAAGTGAAGGTGAAATCCAGACGCGAAGATAGCTGATACAGCAGTTCTACCTGCCACACCAGCCATCCTCACCCTGCCGGCCTGCATGTTGTTTCTTCACGCCTCTTTTAAAGGATCCCAGGTTATATATTATATATAAATAATATTAATATATATTGTATTATTATATTGTAATCTGTCCTTTTTTTTATTAAAACTGCGTTAAAATAGAATTTAAAGTACCCAAAGTATTCGTTGTGTAGAGACATCTAGTGCACGGTATGAGCCGCATGTCGCATGAAAAATGGTAGCAAGCTAAAGTAGTGATGTCGCTTAGGAATGGTAGATGGCGCACTTATTAAAATGTAAACGAAACTTTTCTTTCAATGAAGGTAAAAAAAGGGGACGTGTGCTAGGAAGAGAGCGGTCGCCTGTTTTTGGAATCGGATGCACTAAAGCTATGTTCCATGAGCTTGGAACGACGCCTGAAGAGTAGGAGAGCCGGATAAGATGCTTTAGTAGTGGAGCCAACTCAGGATCAGACGTCTTCACTTCCATCTCCACAGGCCCACTCTACTTATGAATATTAAGGGAGAAGAAAGAGTACTTTGTGCACTAAGCATTGTGTGAACCAGATATCCGGCGTAGGGTTCTCACACTACGGGATGGTCGGCGGCGTTTATACTCATGTCATTAAAAGTCGAGTTAGATGCAAAGAGTGAGCATATTACGTATGGATGAAATAACTTTATAGGAAGAATAGAATACAGGATCTTGACAGACAGGTAAACGGTCGTACCAATTTTGACCTTAACTGAGAAGTTTCTTTTTTTTACAGTGTCAATCTACGGTAGATTAGCGTAAGTAAATACTCTATCTCCATGCCAATTGACTCAAGTCGTATAAGAGGGATATTTATCACTCTTACACGATTGTCATATAAAGGTAGATCTCGCGACTCTACTACGGTAAGCACTGGTTATACAACTTGTCACGGACAGACCTCCGTCACATACACACTTTTTATATATATTTTCTATGAATCTGTGAGCTAACTCTAGTCTATTAATGTCAAGTATTCAGCTGTTTTTTATTGCACTCCTTTTTATACAGTTTCGGTGTTACATTTTATAGTCAAAATTCCAAAATTAACCTGTTTTCTCATCACATCCGCCTTTTCCTTTGCTGTCCACGACACAACTTGTCCGGTCGTTTGAGTCGTCGGCTTGATAAAGTCGTAGAAGTCGAAGTTGAAGTTGAAACTTGGCAGTCACCGCCGTCCTGTCTCGTAGTCCATCATTATCTTTTTTCCTGGCAGTACTGTCATAATTTCCGTCTGTCATCTGTGGGCTAGTTAGTCAATCCAAGGAGGCCGGACGCCGCGACATTACTCAAAAACATATATGACAGTCGTATAAAATAGTATAGAAGTTTATATGACATGTTTTATGCGACTACAAGTAGTATAAAGATGAGAGGCACTAAGTCGTAATACATGTTAAAATAACTTCATTGCGATGTTCACAATGTTCACTCGCTGAATTTTTATATACGACCGAAATGTTTGTTGGGTGGTTTGGATAAACTATCTTTGAATAAGTCCAATTGCAGTTTAAGCCTTTTCATACCTATGTCATGGTTTGCAAATATTAAATTTAGGAGATATAAATGCATAGACAGGCAGACATCTTGGATCTAAAATTGCGACATTATTACGAAACATCGAGCATAATATCGTCCTTCAAAGTTGTCTGTTTTACTTTTTATAAATTGGTAAGTAAATAAAAGCTGTAAAGAAAATTCATAGGCACGTGTAAAAGAGAATGCACTATATTGGTGCTGCAAGAAAAGCGACCGTATCAACTATCAATAACATTGGAATTTTTATTGGAAATAATGTTCCATTCCGATACTTCAGGCTGCGAGCGTGGGCTGGTTCGTAGTCGTAGTACTATAGGTACCAATAGATGGATGATGACTATTTTTTTACAAACTTTTATTTAACTTGCTATGTATGTTTGTTACGGTCTAATCTTACAACTCAATTTTAAAGCACTTGTCCCCAACCGATTAAGCTGAAATTTGGTATGCTCGTTCAGTTCGGATGACAATGTTATGCATGATTAACAGTGTGACGTCATTCTAAATCCAATATGGCGGCATACCCAAAATGGCGGACCAATCATTTTTAATGCATTCCTACAATATGGGTATCAAATTAAAGGGCTTGCTGAGAGTAACTCGAAAAAAATGTGACGTCACTCTCAATCCAATATGGCGGACTTCTAAAATTTGAAAATCTATTTAGAAACAGATATCTTTAACTAATTTAGTTGAAATTTTCTTTTTTTCTTTTTAGCGCATTTGAATAAAAGCTTGTTTTTAAAAAGGATTTTTTTACCTTAATTTTATTTTCGTTTATCAAGTAGATTATCAAAAAGTATTAGACACGTATTTTTTCTTTTTTCACATAATATAAACATTGCAGAGATATATTGATTTGAAAAGTCGCATGACGTCACGTTTTGGTACAATTTTCACTTGTCAAAAGTCACATCACGAGCCCCTACTCCCAAAGTTTGACGCGTTATAACATTGTCAGTTTTTGGTTGATTGCCGCAAGAAAAAAAAGGTGTCCATAATTTTTTGATCATCTAACTGACGGACTAAATAGAACTTCGTTTACTGTACCCCGTCATCACTCCTATTACCAACTGAGTATTTATTTAATGCTCTGCTTGGAAGCTAGCAGGTTACTAGTATTCGCAGGCTGCCCTCACTAGAAAATTTAAATAAAAATACTTAAAATAAACATACCCACACACTAACGATCAGTTTTGATTAGTCGAGATATTTTTTTATGTGCTATTTTGTGGTACAGAAACAAAGAAAGAAATGAATGGTTTTTTTTATAACACTTATTTATTTATTACATTTTAAGTTGATGATGAGTCATGTTATATTGTGATATAGAGGATTCGATAGCTGGTAGAGTAAGCCCATCAGAATCCGAGGCCGCGTCGAGATGCAGCCAGGGAGTTCGAATGGGTGGAACAGACAGGGAGAGGATGGTTTGCATTTAGCATGGGTTTTAACATTTATCTATTCGCGACAGTGGATACCTACATTGCTAACACATCAGTTATCTCACACTTTGTAACCCACGATTGAACAGTAAATCAATGTACATACTTAACCTTAAATAAATGGTTTCAGTGATATGAAATGTGGTTGTGGACAAAACAGATTTTTGTTGAGACTCATCAGATACTGCAGACAAACTGTCAAAAACAGTTGTGGGACTTTGTATAGTACCGAAACTATGTCACTGGGTTGGTAAATTATTATTAAATAATATTCCACCCTGCCCCCCTAGTATGAGCACCTCGATACGCTATATAGCACGTTTTTACCACGCTCAATTGTCAAATTACTTTGGAGTTTGACAGTAAGACACGATAAAAAACGTGATAAAATGTATAACGTGTAAATGATAACGACCTCCGTGGCGGAGTGGTTTGTACGCCGGGTTTCATGGTGGCGCCGACTCGAGAGGTCCCGGGGTTCGAATACCGGTGGGGGCAGATGTTAGTGTGATGAATACGAGCATTTGTACTCCAGTCATAGATGTTTAATATGTATTTCTATATAAATATACTTATATATGTACTGAATATGACTGTATTCTATCCGTTACCCTAGCATCCCATAACACAAGCCTTCCAGTGCTTACTAATTGGTGTGAGTGTTGGAAATATTTATTTATTTAATGTAGTGCTCATGCTAAAGGGACTGGGGCTTTAGTAACACTTTATAGGAGTACATTAACACAAGTACGAAACAACTTGAGTCGTTATTGCTTATTAACGAGACTAATGACAACAAAACAGGATAACTTAGTCCTCCTTGCATCTTCAAGTATCGGTAACTTATTGAGTCTACAGTCATGCAAGTCTTTTACTTTATAAAGTGCTGATCCCGGTTTTATTTAAAAGTTATGTCATCCCTACAGCGTGTCCCGACACATGCTGCCGGGATCATCCGGGATTAAACTGCAGTTGCTTGATATCGCTTAGGTTAATAGCGTCAGTATTTATTTCAGTAACGTAAGAGTTTGTCGAATGTGCTGAGCTAATATCTTAACGGCGAAGATTGTCACACGAGACTTGGTTATAGTATAGTTTTAATATATATGAAGAAAAGATGCTATTTCTTTTTGCTACGAAGAAGAGTCAATAAGGCACCTCACGCACTAACTAGCCACATAGTATTGAACAGCTCGAGTTCATAATTACCACGGCATGAATACCATTTACAGGAATTAGTAAAAAAAGACTAAACAACAAATAAATTACAAACATGAGGATTCACACTCATTTTTCACGCAATACAATAAACAGCATAATGATACCACGAAGTATTTTGATGTCAATCGATAGTTGGTTTTTTGTCTTACGCGCTCTAAGAGCAATTTAAGCCAAGAGTGCCTAAGACAGTTGGGTAGAGGTATGGGTAAAAAGTATATATCTATACTAAATTAGAAATGAACAAAACATTAACATATTTCAAAGGAAATTAAAAAAGCTCTTGATAAATAAATGCTATTATTCTATAGATCAGTACCTTACGTCTAAATAAATATTATCAACAAGAAATATGT